TACCACTTGAGCCACAACTCCACTTCCGGCTTTTTTCATTTTGCTTATGCGGTGCTGAGGAATCGAACCCAGGGCCTCATGCATGCAAGGCAAGCGCTCTGCCACTGAGCCACCTTCCCAGCCCCGGTAATTGTGAATTTTAAGAGTTCTTTCCCCCCTGAGACAGAGTCTCACTGTATAGTTCTACCTAGCCCCAAATTTATAATCCTGTTGTGTCAGCCTGTTGATTGCTGGGATTGCAGGCTTGTGACACTTGACTCAGATAAAGTTGACACCCTGCATCATTTAGAATCTTATGGTAAAAGAAAATTAGGGAGATAGAAAGACATAAACCAGCAGAAGGAGGAAAGAGACAAAGAAGGAATATAAGATGCTTACATCCTTTTTTTTTATTGTGAAAATTCAGTACAGAGGGGTTACAATTACATGGGCAAGATAATGCGTACATTTCTTATCAAGCATTGTAGCCTCCTCCTTTCTTTCCCCTTCCCATCCTCCCCTCGCCCCCACCCAATCCTCCTCCTCCTTCGCCCCACCACCAAAGTTGTAAAGTTTGTTTTCGACATAAAGACTTGTATATCTCATTGTTGCAATGTGTCCACCTGTATCCCTAGTTAAACGATTTGTTCCCTCCACAAATTATACCAATATCAAATACAGTGAAAGCAGGGGTTATACCATGGGGGAGGGACATACAAAGCAACAAAGAAATCATCTTATAAATATGTTAGAAACAATCCCATGGAAGAAAAAAAACATTTGAATACTTAGCTTGGGTTCATTTCACCTAACATCAACTTATCTGACCTTTTCTGTTTGTCTTAGACATATACTAGTTATTGCAAATAAGGGAAACCATGGTTGCATCCTTTCATAGACCTATTCTGATCAAATCAGTTCCATTTTTTTCAACCCTGACATTTTAGGACTGCTTGTCAGTCAGCTAGAGGTGATAGCAGATCAGGGAGTCTGATTTCAGGAGTTACAGTTTGGCTTCGATTGTATTTGAAACAGTTGATATCTTCCCTTTTTATAGGAAAAAATCACTTTCCCCTGTGTCTTCCAATATTATTCAATATTGGGGTTTCCTGGGGCTTTGTCTAGCACTCTTTCTCTAAAGTCACTCCTCAGATAATTGTATTGTCTCATGACTTAAAAGACTTAAACTGTTTTTTGTGTATTGGGCTTGGGATTTGAACTCAGGGCCTGGACATTGTCCCTGAGCTTTTGTGCTCAAGGCGAGTGCTCTACCATATGAGCCACAGCTCCAGTTCCAGCTTTTTGGTGGATAATTTGATTTTAGTCTCCTGAGTAGTTGGGATTACCGAAGTGGGCCACCAGATCCAGCAATACTTAAATTATTTAATTAAACCAAAACTGTCTGCCATGGCTTGTAAGACTAAACTTGGATAGATTCCCAACAACCTTCCTGGCTGTGGTTACTTGCCTTATCTACATTCACTTTGCTCTAGTCTTGTCTATTTCCTATTCCTTGAGCATGCCAAACCCTTCACTACACAAATACCTTTTAATCCACTCTTCTTTTGTCTTGAAATGTGTCTCAAGATCTTCTTTTGAGAGATCTGAAGATCTTCACTCCTTGTCTTATTTGTTTCACCATTCAAAGGCCTGAGAGAGGCATTCCCAACTCCTGGACCATCCTATATAATGTAGACATCCTACCTCACTCTGTCCCTAGCCCTGCTTTATCTGCCTGTATGACTCTCCAAGCTTCCTAAACATAAGCTCATCCATTTAGTTCTATGTTCAGTGTCTTAGGCACTAACAAACACCAAGAAGGCAACTATAAAAAGCTTAATTTCCTTTGTAATCTTACTAGGTCCTCAATTTTTATTTTGTGTAGCAGATAAAATAGGAATATTTGCTGGCATTTTATATATTTTGTTTTACAAGTCATTCCTACCCAATATGAAGAAGTTTGGATGTTTTTGGACGTATATCTTAACATTTGTGTTAGCTACGGTTAGATGGCAGAAGTTTCTCTGGATGAATTGATAAATCACAAATTGTTTTTCAGACATGGTTTGGGAAAGACCAAGCAAAAGACAAAATTCAATTGAGTGCATTTTGTATAGAATCTGTATTGCTTTCATTCACTTTTTTTTGTTTTTAATGTACTCAGTATGTATAACTTGAATAATTGTACCATGAGAGCAGATGGCAGAAGATAAATTTTCTCAAACATGTAAGATATATTACTCATTTCAAAATTTTCTTTTCTAAATAAAGATGGTTTCTGTACAATAATTTACAATGCCATAAATACAGGAAATATGGTTTTTCAATATTTTTATTAGCATACATTTATAGCCCAAGGGGTTTTCATTGTACTATAATTACATAGATGTGTACAGTGTTCTTTGAGCAAGTTGATAAACTTGCTCATCTGACTGCTTTCATAAAAAATGACATCAATAATTGACCAAATATTGTTTTTGCTTATCAAGTATTTAAAAAATCAGATAGAATTATTTTTATATTCTGTCTTCTCTCTTTGGAAGACCATTGAAGTCATAAACAACGAGTTATTCATTGTTTTATTTTTAGTGATTGCAAACATTTATTCCTTTCCTTGTAGCCTCTATTAATAATACAAAGGAGTTCATTGTGTCATGAACATGCACATATGTATACAATGTACCTTGTTCAAATTGATCCCTTCCATGACATTTCTTATCTCCTACCCTTCTTTATTTCAAAACTACTTTTTAGTGGCTTTCATTATTCTATTGTCATATAGCACATAGACCATGTTTAGCCCCATCCCTTCATTCTTTTAATCCCAGGATCAGACATAGAGAGTGTTAAAAGGAAGGTTTGTTGAAAATGACAGTGGGGAACAATTCAGAGATATGTAAGCATCTGGGCACGGATGTATATCTTTCTTTTTATGAAAATTCTATGAAGGTCTTCATAAAATCCTGTGAATTTTTTTTTAATCCGTGGTCTTCTATGCCGTAATACTATAACTCTAATTTACTTTCTCAGGCAAAGTTGCAATTTGCATGCAAATCTATTTCTGGACAAATAAGTCAGAAATAAGTCACTGCAGATAAAGTTGTACCTGCCAGTCTCCTATAAGTCAGAAGTAATGGAAGACCAGGACAGGCCCACGGAAATATAGATCGGCTCAACTAAAATCTTCTGATTATAACCCTGTGTAGTTTCATAATGTAGGTGCCAGATTCCTTCACTGGACATTCTGGGTCATTAGATCCAGGATGGACTTTGAGAGGACTCTGGTAAAGCCTGCTTTGCAGTATTTTATTTTTCAGCCAGAGGAAAGCCTAAGAGTTTGAACTTTTGTTGATTTCTCCTTGCGATTACCACAATTTTTGAATGACCAATTATTGCTGAGATTCAGCTAGCCTAGCAAAAGGGTGTTAGTTACATACCTTTGAAAAGGGCTATGTAACTATGGAATATAATGCCCAAGCCCAGACCTAAAGTGTCTCTGACCTAAGGTGGCTTGTGACCATTCAGCATTCTATCTTGGCCATGTATATCCCAACTATTCAATAACCAGGAAATTATGAGACATCCCTTGTACTGCCACTGTGAATGCTTTGTGTATCCTTTCTTGGTTTAGTAACATTGAGTTGTGTGACTTATTACAAATAGGAACCTCACTTCACTGAAGCAGAAGAAACACAAAAGTAACTTCAGGATTTGAGGATGTGAATTTTGAAAAAAATTCTCCCCCCCCCCTGCAAATTTGGATGCTCACCTTCAATTAGAAGCTAGTGGTCTAGGCCAATGAACTCATTTTTAGATAAGAAAATATGCTTCAGAGTTAGGCTAACATGTTTGTAGTCTCCACAGCTATTTGGAGACGGAATCAGGACTGTATCTTCTGCATGTACACTTCTGTGGATTTTCACTGAAATAATTGAAGTCATCCATAAGGCTAAGTGAAGTGAACCCCAAGATATGGACACAAGAGGTCTGTCTTTGTTGTTGTTGTTTCTAATGTACTCTGTGTTTTTTTGTTTCCTTTGTATGTTCTTCCCACTATGGTATATCCCCTGTTGTCACTGTACTTTATTTTGGTACCCTGCATCTTGCATATACATTTGTTTACTTTGGGGGAGGGAAAGGGGAATAACAGAACACTGAAACAAGGACACAGGAGGACCCATTGCAACAATGATACCCACAAGACAGTATATTGGAAATGAGCTTTACAACTTTGGCGGGGGGGGGGGGGGGGGAGGGAACTGTCGGAGGGAAGGGATAACAACAAAGGAGAGGTAACAATGCTGGACAGGAAATGTACTCATTACCTAACTCATGTAACTATAACCCTCTCTACAGTATCTTTACAATAAAATACAATTTAAAAAAGAATTTAAGCCATCTGGAATTATATTTTCCAGAGTGTATTTGGTACAACACTAGCTCCATCAACCACTCGGTGACAAATTAGGTTCTATGTGATTGAGTAAGTTTAGTTTTGAGCACAGAGGCATACCTTATTATCCCCAACTGCAGGCTTTGAGAACTTGTTTAATTAAGACCATTTTTCTTTATTTAACTCAGAATTGTTTGAAAGTAGGAATACTTATTTTTGCAAGTATTAAATCTTTCATTGAAAAGGGCCAAGGCAAAATAAGCTTCGAGCAAAGCTGCCTTAGATAAGTATAGATTGAATAAAGAATTAATAATAAGTATCTTCAAAGCTGTAAAAAGGTAGACTGTAGGCACTACTTGCACCTATTTTTGTCTGTGTCATAAACAATTTGCACAAACATTGGTATTAGAACAGATTAGCATCCAAGTGTCTGCTATTGTAATGACTTAATAATGGCAATTAGGGATCCTCTTTCTAACACTAGAGCAACATGGGAAAGCACTAACCCTTCAGAGGCTGGAATATGAGAAAGTGGATGTCTATCAGAACTATCAGAACTATGCCACAAACGTTGAGCTGAATCAACCACTTAGTAATGCAGATTCAAGAAACGCAGATACTCCTGCCATCAAAGGGAAGAGCGTTTCTTTACTATGAGCTTTCTCAGGGCACCTTTCATGTCTTTATTCCTCAGGCTGTAGATGAAAGGGTTCATCAGGGGTGTGACCACAGTGAACAGTACTGCGCCAATCTTATCTGTGTTCTCAGGGTGAGCGGACAAGGGGAAAAAGTAAACCCCTACAATGGTCCCATAGAAGAGCAACACAACTGTCAGGTGAGAGCTGCAGGTAGAGAAGGCCTTCCACTTTCCCTCTTTGGATGAGATTCTCAGCGTAGCCCTGATGATGCAGATGTAGGAGAAGAGGATGAGAGCAAAGGGGAAAGTAATGACTGATAAGCCCACAATAAATAACACCAGCTCATTCACCATCTTGTCTGAGCAGGACAGTTTGAGCAGAGGGGCTAAGTCACAGAAGAAGTGTGGGAGAATGTTTCTGTCACAGAAGATCAACTGAATGAACAGAAGGGTGTGAGTCAGGGCAACAATATTACTGAGGAACCACGGGATGACTGTAAGCAAAAGGCAGAGCCTTGGATGCATGATAATGGTATAGTGAAGAGGGTTGCAGATAGCCACAAAGCGATCATAGGCCATGACGCCCAAGAGGAAGTTGTCAATGACGACAAACACAATTGAAAAGTACATCTGTGTGACGCAGCTCTTGTAGGAGATGGATTGACTCTTGGTCTGAATGTTCACCAGCATTTTGGGGACTGAGGTGGAAATGGAAGAAACATCAGCAAAGGATAGGTTGGCCAGAAAAAGGTACATGGGTGTGTGAAGGTTCGAATCAAAACCAATGGCCAGAATGATGACCCCATTCCCAACTACAGTGACCAAGTACATACCCAGGAAAAGCACAAAGAGTAGTTCCTGCATCTCAACCTGAGAGGAGAGTCCCAGGAGGATGAATTCAGAGATGGTTTGGTTTCCCTGACGCATATGTCTCCTAATCTGCAGAAGAAAACACAGTCTTCAGATCCCCACTAGAAAACCCAAATAGCACTACTCAGCTGCATCCACTTCAGGAGGACACATTTGTTATACTGAACAGGAATGAACTGCTACTTAGTAAGTACGACTTCTGAATACACTATTAACTCAGCAGTGCAGAGAATTGGAATTGCCTTAGGAAGAAAACAAACGATATGATACTTCTCAGTGAATGTATCTTAAACTTTCAGCTCTGAATGTGATTTTCATAGTTGGTTCAAAATGTTGTTTACTTCAAATTGAGAGCCCCAAGAGAGGTGGATCTTATATTGTAAAATTGTTAAGTATGCCAGCAGGAATTAAATAAAAATAAATCGTTAGAACTAGCCCAGGATACCCTTCAATGGATGAATGGATCAAGAAAATGTGACATATATATGTATATATACATACACACATACATGCATATATCTACACATATATGTGTGCAGTATGTGCACACATATATAACATAGCACAAACATATATATTGAAGTTTTACTCATCCATCTGGAAGAATGATATTATATCATTTGCAGAGAAATGTATGGACCTGGAAAAAATTCTGGTAAACCAGGCTTAATAGAAAGGACCCATGTTTTCTTTCATATGTGGGAGTTAGACCTAACATCTCTCTGTGTGTGTGCACATGCATAAACATACACAGGGTCATAGGAATAGGCACACAAACATATCATACCAAGTATGGTACATGCAGGGGAGTAGTTCAATGGGGTAACTCCTTTGAACAACTTACATTCTTAGCAAAATGAATACCAGGAAACTGTAACTTGAGGTTGTCTGGGGATTGAGGATAAGGGCAAAAGGGTGAATAAATGAAGAAAGGAGGAAAAGGTGATTGCAGTCATAATATTCAGTATACATATATTATGTGAAAGTGGAGTTGGAAAAATTAAGGGGATGGGTGGGGTTGGGAGAGCTTGGGGAGAATGATGAAAGAAATGAGATTGATCAAGATGCATTCTTCTCATAAACTGACATGTTGAATTGACACGCCTTTGTACAGCTACTTAACTATAAGTTAGCAAGGAATTTTTTGTCTTTTCTTTTTTTTAAAGAAGAAGTATTCTAGAGGAATTGAATGGTGAGGAGGAGAAGAGTACACCTTTGACCTGATAGGCCCCAGACATTCCAAAGTGGTGTCCTGGATGTTAAGTGTTGCCCTCAAGGAATACTGAAGAGAAAAAGATCATTTCCATGGCTGAGTAAGAGACCCTGGAGAGGTTTGTGTCAGGAGAGATTTGTTTAAGCAGAGATTTGATAGAGTCCAGCCCTACCCCGTGAGGCCTCAATTATAGCCCTTTGTCCTTCCAAATGCCCTCTGTCACTGGGCTTGGAAATCCCACTTCTTCTGGTCACTTTTTTGGGGGGGAGGCAGTATACCTTTATTAAGGTCATCACCCCTTCCATCAGTCTCCACCATCTCTCCAAGTCTTCATCAGCCTTGTGGACTTTTGAGCATCAGTTCCTTACCTCATCTTCTGGTTTCATCTATCCCAGCCCCCAGTAGTCTCATTCAGATTGTTGTGAGTCCAAGGTGGCTGCGTAGTGGGTTTGATCAGTTTTAAGTTACAAAGTGCTCAGGCCCCTCTGACAGTAAAATTTCTGGAAGTTAGGGAGTTTAGATACAGAAGCTTTCTTGTGCTTACTTACCAGGGTGGCAGATAGAGGGCTGAGAGCAGCTTTCCTGTGCTTCTCAGAGTTGGACTCTTCTTCCAAGCACCAGTGTGTCACGATGTCTGACTCTCATGGGACATTTATCTCCTCCCAAGTCCTTAGGGATGGCATCCCTAGAGTGTTTTCTTCAAGACAAACACTTATTTTCACCTCCTAGTGTCAATGAGGTAAATGGGGAATAGATAGCCCTGCTTTTTGCTTCCTTTGTTTTGTCTTAAGATGCTACTTATGTTCTTTTTGCAAGTTAGGTAATTATCCAACAGATTAGAGGTCTCTGCAACATTAAATAGATGTCACTGTTGGAATGGCGTCCCTGTGGTGATTTAGTACCCAGGAAAGTATTATAGTCTGAGTTTCTAGTAGTGCCAAAAATTATTGAAATAATATTGAGTGAGTGGTCCCCAATACACAGAGAAATCTGGAAGAGTAGACCTGAAATGGACAGGACAGGTAGGTTGTACAGCCACAAGTAACATTTCCCTTCCTCTAATGCTTTCACATGCCTTGTAATGTTGTGAGCCATTTCTCACCCGAACCAAGAATATTCATCCTTTCCTCAACAGGAAGAAACTCAATGTACTTTTGGGCTTATTCAAACTTTTATTAATATTAGTCACTTAAATCTTACTTAGAATCTGTAGTTTGAATTCCACTCTATCTGATAATAGTATTTTCAGATCAACTTAATGTACTCATTACCTTGCTCATGTAACTGTAATCCCTCTGTACAGCACTTTTTTTTTTTTTTTTTGGTTGGTCATGGGGCTTGAACTCTGGGTTTGGGTGCTGTCCCTGCACTCTTCAGCCCAAGGCGAGTGCTCTACTGCTTGAGCCACAGCACCACTTCCAGTTTTCTAGTGTTTTTTTTTTTAAATTGGAGATAAGAGTTTCACGGATTTGCCTGCCCGGGCTGGCTTTGAACCACGATCCTCAGATCTCAGCCTTCTGAGTAGCTAGGATTACAGCTGTGAGCCACCGGCGCCCGGCTAGCATTTTTTACAGTAAAAAACATACACCCCAGAAACCTAACTGTAACTCTACGAATAGCTGAACCGGATTCCAAACCAGTCAAATCAGGCATTAAAGCATGTAATCTCTCTCCAAAAAAAATTAAAACTTGTTGGATCACTATCTACTTTAAGTCTGTTTCATGAACATGAATCTGAATTTTAACACTTAACCTTAAGATTTCTGTCATTTGACATGTGAATTTAAGGGATTCACATACATAGGGCCACTGACATACTGGGTTTATGCTTCCTACCTAATATATTATTTTTTTTCACATTTTCTCTTGACTGTTTCTACAGTGGTGGAGCTTAATTCTCTTTGATACCTGGCATCAAAATATATCTGTGCTATTTTTCTTTTTCTTTTTGGTTGGTCATGGGGCCTGAACTCTGGGCCTGGGTGTTGTCCCTGAGCATTTCAGCTCAAGGCTAGCACTCTACCACTTGAGCCACAGCACCACTTCTGGCTTTTTCTGCTTATGTGGTGCTGAGGAATCAAACCAAGGGCCTCATGCATGTAAGGCAAGCACTCTACTACTGAGCCACCTTCCCAGATCCCCATCTGGGCTATTTTTAATCTACCAGTATTTAAAACATATTTTTTATTTTATGGAAATAGAATGATGATACCATATAATAATTTTTTCAAAAGAGAAAGAGAATAAGAAAGAGTAATAGAGAGAGTGAATTTGATCAAAGTATACTATATGTATATATGGAAAAAAATCTCACAATGAAGGCTTTTGTACAAAGAATATATGCTAATATAAATGAAAAAATATTTTAAGAAGATATATAAACACAATTTTATAACATTTATCAGCTATTATTTGTAAACTATACTTTAAACAAGAAGAAATAGAGTAATTACCATATGTCTTCTCCTACCCTGTATCATTCATGTATGTTCAAAGTCAATTTGAATTTAAATTTCAGATAGTAATAGTTTAAAATATATAACTTGCATTTTATATACCTTCCCTTGCTAATTGCATTAAATGATGAAAACATATGTTAATATTCACTGGAGCCAGAAATTCTAAATATGTCATTTTTAACTACTGCTTCTCACATTTTATGTCTACTTTCACAAGACTAGAAGGGCTTTGTAAAATCTTCTGAGACCAGCTGTGTTTCATCTGTTTTAATGATGAATAATGAATAATAACTGAGACTTCTTCTATTTTGGCCTACGCATTACATGGAATATATATATATATATATATGTGTGTGTGTGTGTGTGTGTGTGTGTGTATTCACATACACACATACATCATACATGTATATATATGTATTATTATACATTGTATATTTTATAAGAATATATATTCTTTTATTTTGTGTGGGTACTGGATCTTGAACTCAGGGATTAGGTAGACATTGTCCCTTAATTTTTTCACTCAAAACTGGCACTGTGTCATGTGAGCCACAACTCCATTTCCAGCTTGTTAGTGATTAATTGGAGATAAGAGTCTCACAGACTTTCCTGCTCAGGCTGGCCTCGAACCATAACTCTCAAATCTTTTTTTTTTAATTCTTTTTTTTTTAAATTGTGAAAGTACTGAACAGAGGTGTTACAATTACATGGGCAAGATAATGAGTACATTTCTTATCAAGCATTGTAGCCTCCTCCTTTGTTTCCCCTCCTTTGTTTTCCACCTCTTCCTATCCCCCATCCCCCCCAAAGTTGTAACGTTCATTTTCAACATAACAACTTGTACATCTCATTGTTGCAATGGGTCCACCTGTATCCCTAGTTAAACGATTTGTTTTTGCCCTTTCCCTCCACAAATTATACTGACATCAAATACAGTGAAAGCAGGTGTTATATATTGTGGGGGAGGGACATACAAAGCAACAAAGAAATAATCTTATAAATATGTTAGAAACAATCACATGAAAGAAAAAACATTTGAATTCATATCTTAGTGTTCATTTCCTTAACATCAACTTATCTGACCTTTTCTGCTTGACTCAGACATATACTAGTTACTGCAAATAAGGGAAATCATGGGACCTATGTTTCTTTGGCCTGGCTTACTTCACTTAATATAATTTTTCCCAAGTCTTTCCATTTCCTAACAAATGGGGCAATGTCATTCTTTCTGATGGAGGCATAGAATTCCATATGTACCACATTTTCTTGACCCATTCATCTACTGAGGGGCATCTGGGTTGGTTCCATATCTTAGCTATAGAAAATAATGCTGCAATAAACATAGTTGTGCTGATCGCTTTAGTATGGTCCTGTTTGTAATCATT